AGGATGTGTGCGCCTTGCCTGTGTCAGGAGGATGTGTGCGCCTTGCCTGTGTCAGGAGGATGTCAGACGGCAAAATCTCGGAGATCTGAGTTAACATTTTAGCATATAAACAAAGTCTATGCTGACAATGTTTTTGAAGAAACCTTAAATGTATATTTTTCTTATTTTCACTTATGAATTATTATAATCTAAAATGTAAAGCAATCACTCTGTTCTGGATTCAACCATTGATGCCTCGTGTCCTGCCCCCCTGCGCCAAAGGTGTCCCATTCTGGTCGCATGGAGGCTTCCCACAATCCCCTTCCCCAGCAACAGCCACAGCACCACGGTCTCCATGGCAACTCGCACCTTGGAGGTTCAGGAGCCCCGGTGCCGCCTCGTGGTTCTTCCCAGAATTCCCGGCTGCACACAGAAGGCTCATTTGGCCTTGGGGGCCCTACTGACGTTCCTGAATCTTCTCTGGATGTGAGGAAATATATTTGGCTTGATTTTGTTGCTGTCTTGTGTTTTACATTTGCATATATAGATGTCATGTCGTAATTTGGATCCTCACAGATTAATATAGCATTTACATAACTAATTATCTGAGAGTTTGCATTGTCCTCAGACATATGAGGCCTTAGTTTAATGAGGGTGGGTTACCTGACTCATTGCTTGGCTGTCAGCTCCCTCCATGCTCTGCAGATGGCCTTGTCTGTTTATGGCTGGCTAGTGCTCGATTAGCGCTGTATGCTCCAATACTGTGTGCTGTACTTCTATCTACTAATGCATTGTACAGCCTTGGCATGTAATTCTGTATCGAGTTTTTTAACTGTGAAACACACTTTTATCCAAACTGATGTTGTCATGTCAGGGCAGAATCTTAGTATTAAATCCATATGTAGCCGACCCTATGGTACAGTAGCTTGACCCCAGCTAGAATAGGAACTGCCAACCTTCTCTTGTCACAGTATACTCCCATTTCTGACCTTCTGCCACTAACCCAAATGTTCTCGCTGTCTTCCCTAGTTGCTTCCAGAACTGACAAACCCAGATGAGCTCCTTTCTTACCTTGGCCCCCCCGACCTGCCCAGTAACAACAACGACGACTTGCTCTCTCTGTTTGAGAATAACTGAGCTCATCCCCAGCGTGTCCCCCTGAAGTACGGATCACGGCCTCTTTGTGTCCTGAGAGCTCCATGGCCCAATGGACGTGGGGGGGCTTCTTTTAAACCATCATAAACCCCCTCTCCCCATCGCCTTAAACTGGAAATGGCGGCAGGCCTTGGAGTCATTGAAGAATCCATTAAAGTGATGTTTGGCTTTGTTTGATGGCATTTGAACTATGTAACAGATTTTATGGTTTTATATTTCTAAGCTATAAACTCTGTTCCCTCCCTTGTGGCTGCTCACGTGTTTGTGAATTCAGGTTTGGTTCAGGATTACACAGCCCCATATGCAGGTTTGGTTCAGGATTACACAGCCCCATATGCAGTTGGGGGGGAAGAATACATAAACATTCAGAGGGAGTTTTTCTAACCTTTTTTGTTCCTTCAGTGTCAGACTTCTGTCAAGGGTAATTTACAAAGAGATAAAGACCGTTATAATATATGTAATTCAAATTTAATAATATATGGAGAGTTTTAATAAGACGAGAGTGTACTTTTATGTGTTAGCTGATATTTGTCTTCAGCATTCTCTCCAATTTAGTATCTATTTAACTGTGAGAGAGAAATATTTGCTTGGAGTGGGATGGTCTATGTTTGAATAATCTCCCTCCTCCGATCGCTCTCGCAATATGTTGGTGGTAAGATTACTGTAAATCATTCATAAAATCCTGTCACTGTGAATACCATAGATGTGTTGGTCTTACCCACTAGCTTACAACTGGTCCTCGTTTTATTTTAACGACAAAGGCGACAAACGTTTCCAGGGTGCTAGAGGCGGACTGTCCCGGAAGAATAGTATTACTGTGATTCCTCTCGTTTTGCAATAACATCTGAATAAAACGGTCGAATCTCTGCGGTTTCCATCCCACACCATGTAAGTAATACGAATGATGAGGCAGTCTTACTCAAATTCACTATAAAAAGTCACTGCACTTTAAATTGCCTTATTTATTGGCGTACTGCCCATGAATTTTGTAATGCTAAACATCACACTTGGAAGTGTATCATTGGTTGAATAGATAGTGGACATTGTGGGTGATGTGGAGAGGGGAAATGGCTGGAGAAATGGCTGCAGACACAAGTTCAGTTGATGCATGTGCATTACTTTTTTTTTTTTTTTTATGTGGAACAGCTGCCGTGCTTCTGTAGCGACCCCCAGAATAAATAAAAATCCCTTGTGCTTCCAGAGTAATGTTATATACTAATCATCACTGTAAGTGCAATACATCAATAAGTACTGGCATTTCAAACTACTGTCTTATTACCTTGTATGACATTCATGACGTCATTAGACGTTTTTCCCGGGAGGGTTAAAAATAGTGTGCTGTTTGTTTTAAGGGAGGGGTATTAAGTATGTGAAGGGAAATTCAATCCTGTATTCGTGTATATTATTCGTTTCGCGCTGTTTTACACTTTTCCTTATTGTAACCGTTGAAACCAATGAAATGCGGGATTTCTGGATGCTGAAATTCACTTTTTAAATCCCTTCCTGTCTGTAAATACAGATTCAACGGCTTCAACTATGATTTTTTTGTGGTGGATCAATCTGATTAGTTTACATCTTTTTAATGCACGAACAGTTTCAAAAAGATGGAATCATTTAATCCGACTGACAAATTCCCTTTTATCTCCATCACAAGAATACTAAAGGCGTTTTGTTTAAAAATTAGGTGACGTACTGTGATGGTGAACTCCATTCCGAGAAAAACACGATATACCTTATTACAGACTATGCAGATGGCTGTACACAGAAGACGAAATTTCATTGAGATAACGTGAATCAAATGCTGCCTTTCATGTAAAAGTTCAGGAGGGATGTATTAACGTTCTACCGCGGGCTTTTAAGTGCAGAATGACGGCAACAGCTGAACTCTGCAGAAAGTCTGTTTTTCGGTACGTTTGCATTTCCTGGTATGCCGCAGAGCACGTGCAGCCTCCATTTCACATGTGCTTCTTTGTGTTTCTTTTTAGGGTCACGATTTCTAACGTGCAACATCAACTAGCATTCATATTTGAAATACCATTTTGTCCAGATAAGGATCGAAGGCAACACGTATACGTTAAACGTAAATCTGCAAACATATTCATACGTAAAAAAAGATATATATTTTTAAATAATTTGTCCTAATGTCAAATATTGTGAAGACACGGAAGGGTCGTGCACCTGTGCTATAAAGCTTTCAATGAAGAAACACCGAACGTGTGTAAATGCCGCCTTTGCGCAGACTTTTCTCACCGACTTCGGTGCGTCGGCATAAAAGTTCACGAAGCAACTGGCCCGATTAAAAAGTGCGCCGGATACGATTTGGGAGGAACTCGGGATGCGTCGTTTTTAACATATTTGCATCGGCAAAATCCGATTTATTAAGGTAGAATAACTAGCTAATTAATTTTGCTTCATTGATTTTGTATTATTTATTTAGAGAGCAACCGATGTTTATTAATGGTTTCAAGGTTCATTATGCTTCCACACCCCAAGAGGACGTGTCTTTCATTGCGTACCTGCTTGCATTTGTAAGCTATTGCGTGCAAAAGCAAGCTCTCTTGTGAAAGTAAGATGCGGCTCCTGGCTCGTCTTTTAGGAAAATACATTCGAGCCATCCGTTTGTTTAAATGCTGAAGCATGTTTGGTAATGAGCCTGATGGAAGTTCATTTGGTTCATTTAAAATATTTTGATAAACTGTAGTATGTTTTGCGGTCTTCCTTATACATATGGGTAAGTTACCTAAGCCAATAACTGGTTAAACATTACTTGTTATAATTTTGTTGTGTCTGCCCATATAATCTATATTGAAAAGTTTGAAGTGTAAACTGTTTTTTATTTATTTATTTTTGTTTTTTCTTTGAGTAAAAACACATTTTAGGAAATAGGCCTACAAGTGAGTCTTTAATTTTATTTTGTTGTTTAAGTCATATTCACCTCCAGACTGTATTCACCGTCTCCCACCTTTCCTACCATATTGCACTCCCCACCGGGTCAGAGCACCAGAAATCAGTGTCACTGCAGACACTGCTGCTGAACTGCACCTGGGCAACACCTCCCTCACCACGCCACGGGACATCACCAGCTTACCAAAACGCCGTGCAGAGTGCTCGACGGGAGGGTCCCGGGCCTGGCCTGCCCTGTCCACTGGGGTTATCGAGCAGGAAGCAGCACCCGACCAGGGTTATATAAATACTTAAGTATTAGCAGAAGCCCTATGCCTTTATTATTTAGAAATATGACCTATACTTTTTTTACCAAAGATTTTTTATCTAGATTAATTCCCCCTGTCCAAGTTGTGCACTGCTGTTATTGGCCAATTCCCCGCAAAGTCTTTTGGCAAGTCTTGCGTGATTTGGAAGCTCGTCTCACGAGGTACGGCATCGTGTCGAATCGCACTGCATCACAATAGGAGTGAATCGTATAATAGCAATAGTACTTGCTTCAAATGCATCTTTAGTATACTGGATCTTTGGCAATGCATCGGGATCAGTATCGCAACGCCTCAGTAATGGACAGAGGCAATTGTAGGGACACTGGGGGCCCTAGGCAGAAAATTCCATGGGGCCCACCCCCTGAAACTCACACAAACTCCATGTGATTTATTCTGCGACTTGAGTGTCAGCGTCATGGAGTTTGTGTGAGTTTCAGGAGCTAATGTGCCAGATTATCACCATCATTTTTTTGTTAGCGATACAGATTCTATATATTATATCTATTATAAAGATACTCTGTGTATCTGGGTGCCATCCACTGATTTGACCAGAAGTAGTGTTGCAGAGTAACTGTGATCAAATGGCTTCCATATGACATTTGACCTCGTATGCTATTTACTGTAGGTGAGCGACTAATGCGACCTTGCAGACCATTTAGTGTCACACTCAGGATTTCAGCCCTCGTTTTACAGTTTCTCGCTCATATATGAAAAATTATTGACAAAACACTCATGGTTCACTTCCGTGCTTTATGTTACTTTGTGACTTGAATGGCTAGTACAGCCCAGGGCCCTGGGCTACAGCCTTGGGTAACGTTACAGCCTTACTATGCATGAGTCCGGCCTTGGGTAACGTTATCCAATTATGTGAGTTATCTATCAAAACTGCCAATACAGTACAGGGTTGTCGTGACCCTGAAGCCACAGGGTATGAGACAGCAGACACCTCACATGTTAGGGACAATTTAGAAACATTCACCCAACTGCATATACTGTATTTGGACAGTAGGAGGTAAGTCCCACACAAAGACAGCTGCAGAGAGAAATCAAAGCCATAACCCCAGAGGTGTGAGGCTACAGTGCCTTTCATGAACCCCTGTAATGCCCTGTTAGTTATCTATATGGACGGGAAACCTAGATCAATAGATTCCAGGCTGACATTAGTTACTGCCCAAATCAAGTGAGCAGAAATTCTACGTTCTTCAAATTAAGCCACATTTACCCAGTTAGTGCTCAGTCTGCCTTTCTAACGCTATTTCTGGCAATGAGTGAAACACTGTAATATATCCCTGCAACCAAAATGATTCGGTTTGAATTTTCTATGGGTCCCTACCCAAATTTCTGAAGACACACAAACATCCTTATAAGACCTTAGATCTCTACAATTGGTGCAATATCAATGGTAGCCTGTGTTCAACTGGTCTGCAATGCTAATGAACACATACTGCAACAGTCCAAAGTCTCACCCTGGCAATATGGCTAAAGTTGGCAAATGTGTGGCTTCCAAGTGTTTCCCTGTAAATGAGGTCCATTCATCTGACAGCTGTTTAGCCTGGACAGGATCGAGTCTATCCCAGGCAGCCAAACTCATAAGACAGGAGTACCACCTGGACCTGATGCCAGTCCATTGTAGGCCACATACATGCATGCATTCAGATACTACGGGCAATTTAGTGATAGCATTTAGCCTGACTGCTAGCCCTTAGGCTGTAAAAGGGAAACCAGAGGAATGCCGCACAACGCTAGAATATGCAGACTGCACATACAGAGTGAAGGTGAGATTCAAATTCTCAGCACTGAAGGTGTGAACTTACAATGCCACCCTTTAAATGGCATACCTACACAAATGAACAAGTTATGTATTAGATTTAGTAATCTGGGTCAATGTTTTTCAGCGCTCTTATTTACTGCTATGAAGGATCACACCTGCTAAAATATAAAATGTGAATGATTGCTTATTTAGTTGTATTTTTTCATTTCTAGATTGAAATCTTTATCAGTATAAATCATCTGTGTTCCGTTATTTAAGACATTAAAATACGACAGCATTAAAGTAAAATAAAACCTCCATTTTTGTAAGCAACCATGTATGTCACTCCAAAAACGATTCTGTATTTCAGACCGAGCACCGAACTTATAATTTTATAAAAGTTGTCTGGAAATCTGCTTTCAAATAAGCAGACCTTAGTCTGTGGCCTTAACAGAAAAATTCAGAATAGCATTGGCTGACACGTTTAGAAATTTAGTCGAGCCATGACGAACATTTCTTGGACGCAACAGCCCGCATTTACATCCTTAGCAGAATCATTACGTGAACCGACCCACCCTCTGGCTGCACGGACGTTACTCGGTTTACATTGGATGGAAAAGACGGCCCAGATTGAAATCGCCCTTATGATTGGTCAATATGAATGTCAATCTTTGTTCTGACTGCCGCACCATATTTCGGTGCCATATAACAGGCTGGTGTTTAATTTGATGAGCTGTTTGCCACTCAGAAATCCTTGCATTCTTATTGGACGAAGGCAGCCTGGAGGCTTCGGGCCTTGTACCATATATTAATCACGTCCTGAAAAGCGTTTCTTTTTCTGCTTTAAGCAAAAAGGAAGTTGAAGTCCAAGCTCTCAAGTGCTACGCCAGTCCTTTAGCCTGAATCATGTCTAAGCCAAGAGTATTCTTTGACATCCAAGCGGGCGGCAATGCCGTTGGTAGGATTGTCATGGAGGTAAGATTTTGCGGCTGTTTTATTTGTGACAAAAAAGCAGAAAGCATTCGATGACTTAGAATTTGAACGCAAACCTGACCATTGCTGAAAATGTAATGCGGATATTTCCCCTGCATTAAAAACGATTCATATTTTTTTTCTTATGGGACCGTGGAGTGTAATGTGTTTTGGATGTCTGATAAAATATTTGTTTAGGATGCGCAGTGGTGCGTAAAGTTAAATTCGGTGCCGCAGTAAATCGCAGTCTTTGCCTGCTAGTTAGCACTAGCCGCCTACCTATCTGTGCTGCCTTCCGCAGGAGTAACTGTATGGTGTCTTTTGCCGGTAACAGGCTACTTATAGGTGACAGATTTCGTAACGTACTGAGTTATACGATTGTTCTGTGGGTATTCATGCGTTCATTTTAGTCCAGTTTTCCCCGTAAACCCCGATTTGATTTAAGGCTATGCATTTGCACTCAAGCAGGCGCCATTTCCTTCGCACACTTCAACCGATCCACTGGGAGGGGAAGGAAGGGGTCGATCCGCAGTAATTTTCCGCATTCGTCGAATTTACCCTATAGCTATTCTACAAGCTTAGAACGAGTGGGAAAAGAGGCGCTTCCGAAAAAAAATCTGTTGGTGGCCATTAATGGAGGGAACTTCTGCCTCCTTAAATGCGTAATGTTCACAATGGAGGTTGGGCTGATGGAATCCACCTCTTCACCCAATTTGAATCCAGATAAATTCACCGGACCCCAATTTCTAATGCTTGGTCTGTTTTGTTTTTTTTTAGTTAGAACTGACGATATGTGAGAGGTGTGTATGTGTGATTTCTGTCGTTTGTATGCTTCGTTTCAGTTCTGTCGGGTTGTGGCGGCGTTATCGGCCCGCCTTTGCAATAACTGCGGTATTCAGCTTAATCCGGGGCGGCAGCGGGGGCGCGCGCCCAAGTTCCTGCCTTTTGTTGCTCTGCGCTGTAGCTGCACGTGGACGCGCGCGGCGGTCCTGTCGCTATGCTAAGTCCTTATTTAACATATTAACACATTTATCGAATGTATAATGCACATGATGTGCCGTTTAAATTCAATGCGAACTGTGTACTTCTGCATCAGGGTTGCCTCCCGTTGCCGCGTGTAGACGCCGAGCGGCGGTGCCGGGAAATGTTCTAGAAACTTCTGTGGAAAAAACGGATGCTTCTGAGGCGGAGGAACGGGGTCTCTTAGACGCCTTGGATTATTTTTACGCACTCCTCCGTCTAATGGCTTACAAGTTGGGCAATGCCGTCGAAGTTTATTGCTTTCCGAAATTAATACGTTATAGCAGCACGTGCTGCTGGGGAGGCGTTCTCCACGCCGGAGACTGGGGCTCCTTTCCCAGTCACCGGACATTTTGCTTCCCGGGTCACTGCAATATCTGAGATTTCCTCCTTTTTGGATAGTGGCGGTAAATGCGTTAAATTGGCTCCGTTTACGCCTTTTGAGTTTGAATAAGAGCCACGCCTAAATCTGTACTCTTGTCGTTGGTATGGAGAGCAGTTGGTTACCCATGTATGACGTTGCGTTTCAGTCTTGCGGATCCACATTCTTGAAAGATACTCTTGACTTGCATAGTCTCCACATATGGTTAGGCCGTGCCTGGTCCCCGTGTGGCTACACGGTTTTGAGGCTGCACATAACGGGGACATTTTTTTTTTAGCCCGCAGCTGACTGGTTGTCCTTTGTGTTTGTTGGTGCGCTCGCGCAGCCAGCTGCTGCAGGAGCAGCGGGACTCTGCTGCTCTGCCCCGATGCCATTAGGTACCTTTCCTCCACGTGGGGCTTCTCCTTGGTCTGCCCTGCTTGACATGAAGGCCTGCTTGTTTGAGTGTATGGAAGCATCTGACGCATGTCATGTAATCTGATGTCAGAGCTGTGGTGTGGATTTCAGGATGACACGACTACCTTATTAAAAGGGATTTTTTTTTCTCTATCTCTCCCACCCCCCCTCCCCCCTACAGCTTAGGGCTGACGTTGTCCCCAGAACTGCAGGTATGTATGTATGTAGCTTCACTGAATCGGTTGCCATGATGCAGGCGCTTGTCCGTCGTCATAATGGGGACTCTAGTTGCACTGTCTCATGCTCATTTCCTTAATTGACACTCCTCTTCCAGATCAGGTATCCCAGAGTTCTACAGTGTAACCCAGAGATTCACAGTTAACCCATATGAGCTTGTGGTGCTGTTTTGTTTATAGAGAACTTCCGTGCCCTGTGCACTGGAGAGAAGGGCTTTGGCTACAAGGGTTCCAGCTTCCACCGTGTCATTCCCGGATTCATGTGTCAGGTAGGTGGGGGGTGGGGAAACACTTTAGTCAGTGGAAGTAGGAATCCATTGGTAGATTTTTGGTACAGGTTCTTGAGCTGAATAGGGCCCCCTTGCTGTCACTCTGTGCTGTGGTTGTCCCCTTTGGCACACATCACCTCTCATCTGCTCAGGGTGGCGACTTCACCAACCACAACGGAACTGGCGGCAAGTCGATCTATGGTGAGAAGTTCGCTGACGAGAACTTCACCCTGAAGCACACTGGGTCGGGCATTCTGTCTATGGCCAATGCTGGTCCAAACACTAATGGGTCGCAGTTCTTCATCTGCACAGAGAAGACCACTTGGTGAGCCACTGACTTCTCACTTGTAAAGGTCCATTAAATTACAGTGACTTGCAGGTACTCTGCCCTGTTAAAATGACTTGCAATGAGTGTCCTTTTGGTGAATCGTAGAGGTCCCTGTTCTGACCTTTCTCCTATTCCAGGTTAATGAGATATAATTGGAAACCTTTGTAGTGTACAATCTGTTCTGAATTCCAGAAATTGTCAAATCAGTTTGAATATATAACTGTCTGGTTTTATGACTAGATAATGGCCTTCACCAACCTATGTTTCTCTCTTCTCACCCCCCCC